TCAAATATAGTTAAATTGATATTTACGTTGTTTGGGTCCACTAAAGTAAATTGTTGTTCGCAACTTTATAATGTAGGAAAGAGAGCACATATTAAACCAGTTGTCCCAATACATTTTTCACGTCTAATACGAATTATTTCTCGATGTTCATTAACTATAAAACAACAATAGTATAACATCAGTTGTTACTTCTGTCTTAGTAATTAACTGATACCTGTTTCATTTTCATGACCTGTGAAAATTAATGAAAAAAATATAAGTTCTGTAAACATAATTAAATTAAAATTGAAGTTTGTGTTTGAATGTAATGTAAGTATAACTATACTTGAGAGAACAGTTTTGAGAGCTTTTATCCATCTCGATATAGTTAAACGATTATTGTGTGAAAAATGGGAAAGTGAGAAAAGATGGTAAAGATAGTAAAATTGTAACGATTAAGAATGAGATAGTGAAAGAAGATAATAAAATTAAAGTAATTATAACGGTCAAGAATGAGTGAGAGAGACAGTGAGAAAGAATATTAAAGGTATCAATTGTATGTGACGTGTTTGTGTAGCATATATAACGTTTGAAACACATATATTGCCTATATTTCACAGTGGATATTTTCCATTAAACAGACGAACAGCAAGTTTTTCATCTTTGAAATGACTGCTTTTAACTCAGAATGACTCTCTAAACCTAAAATAGCATTCTCAACCAAAAAACCTACTTGTTAAAATGTTGAATTATTAATCAAAAGCACATGATATGAAACAAATATCTAAGAATATTTTTAAGAAGTACATCATTCGATGAAGCTTGATCCACTGATTTCGAATACAATATTAGTTTTAATGAAAAATACTTTCTTGGTTGAGAAAACTTGGATTTTATTATAATAACCATGAATTTATAGAAATCCTGCAAAGTTCAAAACAATTTGCACATTTTTGCGCATAGGATGTAGCTGTAGCGCGGAGACAGAAGAAGATTTTCGTAAAGTTTGAACTCGATTTGGGCTTTCGGAAATTTTCGAGGAAAGTCATTTTTACTAAAGATCTGGTTTTAGGACATTTTTTAGCACGGGAAACGCTTGTTTTCCCGGCTTTGTTAAGTTTCAATTTGGAATTTTTTAGCTGGATCGATCAGTTTTTATTTTCAAGTTTATTTGCAGCCTAGACATTATTTTAAGTTAAAACAAAAATTAAATACGTCATGACCATCGATTTTTGATCTTTTTTCCCAATGATTTTTCTTACCTTACCTAGAAAGATAAAACTTTATTTTCACAAGAAAAGTTAGCCCGAACCCAGATCTTTTTAATCAACTTATGCACAGCGAAAACTTCCACTTTTTGACTGAATGTCCGCCTGGATGCCTACTGTGTATTTCCTAACGAATTTTAATCATATTTGTAAGATGTGTTCTTGTCGACGATACCTATTTATTCGCTAAAATTAGCCGTTCATCTGTTAACAATCATGGCATACTCAAGAAGTGATATCGTTTTTTCCATAGTTTTGCTATGGTTTTCATGCAGCAGCGACGATAAACTGCTGATGCACTCATTAATAAAGCAACTGCACCTGTGGTATTAACGTTTCTATAATCCACATCAAAGTTACTCATCATTCTGCACGGATCAATCTCATGACATAGTACAAATTTCTTTCTATTTCCGTAAAAACGATGTTTAGCAAAGTTAAGAGCCATTTCTGTAAGAACAGTTCGTTTAATTAACTAATGTTTTTTCTCGTTTTAGAAACTATTTGGTATTTTTGGCGAAGAACCACTCGATAAGTTTTGTTCGTTTGGTGCGCTTACAAAAGACTAAAATCCGAAGAGTGGATGGGAAACTAATGAATTCAAAAATGGTAAACACAGAAATGTAAGCTTAAAGGAAATTCAAATAGGCGAGTCAAATAAGATTTTACATGTAGAATATTTTACAAGTATTCTAATTAAAAAGTTCGTTTATTTTCGATTCGTGCATGTCAGGTTACGGTAGCGGTCAAAGGTATACCGAAACCTGTCATCTGAGAGCTATAGAGTCTAACCACTTCGAATTGTGTGTTTAACGCTCCTCCGACTGCTGATCATTCGTTAAATTTTGACTTACTTGATGTTTGTTTTCCGGAAAAGCTTCCCAAAAGTAGTGAAAGCCTATATTAGACGAAATAATCCATTTTTCACTATTCGCACCGAAAATTCAAAAATTCATAACACACTCAAAAACTGTTTCAAAATATCAACATATACTCGATTTTATCTGTTTAACCATATTCTGTAGTAGAGATTAGTACGAAATATTTCCTTATTTCGAAAGCTTTCCAGAAAAGTACTTCAATTTTTGGAAAGCTTTCGGAATAAAGGAATATTTAATATATCTTTGACCGCTACCGTAACCTTACATGCACAATCGAAAATAAACGAACTTTTTAATTAGAATACTTGTAAAATATTCTACATGTAAAATCTTATTTGACTCTCCTATTTGAATTTTCTTTAAACTTGCATTTCTGTGTTTACCATTTTTGAATTCATTAGTTTCCCATCCACTCTCCGGATTGTAGTCTTTTTAGCCAGTTTGCTGTTTCTTGTTTTTATGACCGGTGTGTATAATGCTATTTTTTTTGTTATGCATGTCTATACGTCTGTGATTCTTCTTTGTATGCAGTAAGAGATGTTTATATTTCGATGCTTAATAGTATTTATCTTCTTATGTCAGATCTTCTTGTTTTCCATTTAATTTCTTTTGTCAGATGTTTATCTTCTTGCGCCAGATTTGCTTGTTTTTTCTTTCTTCAACGTGAATACAAGAAAGAGTGTTTCAAAATTATCGTTCAGGTCCCAAGATTATTTCATTCATGCTCATGTGCGACTACAAATGCATTATTGGAACAAGCGAATAGCTCATAGACTCTATTTTTGTTGCATTCACTGCACTAGGAAAACTTTGGCAGTTTCCCTATTGACATTCCGCGTCGTATCTCTTCCAGAAAGGAAAACGTGTCCCCAGTAGGCAGTTCATCCAGAGCCAATGCATATATTGAGAAAACCACAACACACTACATCATTTAAAAAATTCTGAAGTACAGATTGTTCTCTTGATTATAATTTTGGGTTAAATTTAGTGAGTGTCGCAGAGCTAACAACAGTACGTAAGCCATAACTCTTTTTTTAAAGGGATATGCGCTTTCGAAGGTGCCTTACTTAGTTTTCACCAGGTTCACAGTTGCTTTCTTTCAAGTTTCAACAATAAAAAAATGAAATGGAAAAATTTTTCAATCGCTAATCATTCGAAAAGTATGTAATGAAAAAATGCTTAGATTTCTGATTAATGAGTGAATGATGGTAATGAAACTCTGCTCAAACTGCTCCTGAACTGAAGATACATTTTTCAATATTGAAAAAGATTTTCTAGCTTTTGTGAAAAAATTTTTTTTGCAGTTAAACTCGTTTATTCTAAATCTGAGCTTTTCTAGAATCCTTTGCAATTGAATATCTACATGTTGCTTTAGTTTTTAATAGTTCATGTAATAATTCAAAGCCGAAAACTTTATAAATCTTACTACTAACTAAACTGTCGTGCTTTTATAAGCATTGCAAGCGTCGTCCAAGACACAAGTTTGAGATAAAAACTTCTCATTGACAGTTCCACTAAAGAGATACTTTTCATTAAAAAAAATTCAGTTATAGACAAAAATAAAAATTTATTGTTACCCATTCTCCTTGTAAAACTAACATTTGTCTGTTCCTTCCGGCATAAAGTATAAAGTAGATTTTTTGTATAAATCACAACTATTAATACATGGAAGCAGTTTTGCTATAGATTTGTATTGCCATCGTCGTGTAAAGCGTCTCGAACATTATCCAATATCATGCACCATGTTTAACTCAAAAACGAAAGTTTTTTCTAAAAAAAGGGAGGAATACCCTTAAGTTTAACCTTTAACCGAGCTTGAAGTGAATTGCATCATGTTCCCGAAGTAAAAGCCGGGTAAAACATGGTGAAATTAGTGTCCTAACTGTCTCAAGAAACGCTATTTAGAAGAGAATTTTCTTGTTCTCAAAACTTGTTTATTTTGGTGGTATTGGACTTAACAGTTTCTATTGTCTTAAATCTTGATTTATAGGTCTAAAATTGTTTTTTAAACCAAAAAAGTGCAGCCTCGAAAAAAGACTTTTCTTGTATATATCCATGCGAGCTGTCGATTGAAATTGAAATTAAAGTTTAAAAACTTGTAGTTCCTTGAAAAGTAAATTTTAATTTTTTCAATTTAGAGTGTTTTCTGTAGATATTTTAAGAAGTATAAATAGAACCAGAACATTTTCAATAGTGACGTGCGTGGTCTAGTGTTTAAAGACACGAGTGGTCACAGGTTCAGTCGCTGCCCACGTCGTTTTTTTTCAACTGTTTGTCTAGGGAGTTTTTATTTTAATTCATTACTATTTATAAAACTCTTTAGCATTGAAAAGTGGTTTAAGAAACGAAAGCAAAGACCGTCTTCTCTCATAAGCAAATGAGTTCTCTCTCTCTTGCGCTGTTTCGCGCCATACTTAATTAATGACTTTTTTAATGACAGTGTTTGGCGCCGTTTCTAGCATTTCAACGGTCATTCCACTTTGCTGTGACCTGTTTATTTCATTTTCGGCAATTGCAGCTGATTATTATTATTATTACCTAGTTTTTTCAAATTTTATAAATTACTACAGCTACAGGAAAAAATCAGTATAGGTCGAATTTAGCGCCAATGAAAAGGCAGCAAACAATCCTGTAGAGAGAAACAATAAGATCGCAAGCCTCGAAATTTTATGGAAAAAGGTGGCATTCCTATTAAATGCACAAACGTTTCAGACCATAGGGATCACAACTACATAGTTCGTTTCTCTACACTGACCCGTGTGCTCAGGTAGGGTGTTCCTATATGAGTTACTTAGATTAAAAAAATCTTGAAATATTTTCATAATAATTGTCTCAAAATCCATTGTTTTCATACAAGCTGGACTACAAGCGAATGTTCGGAAATACGTATACCATGCCACAAACAACTGGCGAAGGGACGCCGTTATATGGTAAAATGGAAGAAGAAAATCAGTTATCAATAAAAGTGAAAAAAGATATAAAGTTGTTTGATGAAACTGAAGATTTACAACTAAAACAGTTATTAGCTATGATTTTTCATAACGAATCATACCTATTCTGAAATGGAAATATTTGACTGACATTTTGTACACTAGCTTCGTTCTGTATTTCCTACATCTCTGAGATGGTCCTATATTGTCCGGTATTTCCTAGGAAAAGTGAGGATTAATCTAAAATGAGTGATATTTGATCGTGAAACGCCATATTCGCTTTCCTACCATAGACGAGCACAGGACAACCTTTTCTGTCCTGTCCAGCCGCTCGACAGGGCGGAGGTCAACTACAGAACAGGACAGGACAGAAAAAGTTGTCCTGTGCTCATCTCTGGTAGGAAAGCGAATATGGCGTTTCACGATCAAATATCACTCATTTTAGATTAATCCTCACTTTTCCCCGAAATATAGGAAATAGTGGACACTATAGGACCATCTCAGAGATATAGGAAATACAGAATGATTACGAAGCCAGTCTACAAAATGTTTCGTAAGAAAGGTGATCATGATGCTTTTTTAGTAGCGGAAGCACTTTTTGCCAATGGCCGTTAGATCAATTTCAAAACAAGTAACTGGGATCTATTACCTTTGATAGCGAGATTTCATCCACTCGATCTCGTTTGTGGGGGTGATTCCTCTCCTGCTTTTGAAAATGTTTGGTTTCTCCGCAGCAAAATATGATAAATCTTCTTTTCCTGCATAGTAGCAGTAATTTTATACGAATTTTTTAGCATTTGGTTGCGTTCAAGAACGGAAAAATAATATTAGAATGAAAGAAATCATAATTTGTCATAGAAATGATCGATAGCACGGGCTGTCTTTTTCAGTATTTTGCATTTATTCAAATTTGCATCAGCTATTGTTAACTGTACATGACTGTCAATGCGACAAACTGATGATTTGGCAAAAGCAAAAGATCATTGAATATTCATATGAAAAGGAACAGTTCTAAACCTTTCACTTGCTCGTTTAGTAAAAACAAAAATTCTTTTGTTTTGTATAAAAAATAAATGAAATTGTTAACATTCTTATGTGCAGACTTGAAGACTTTTGACACTCGTCTTTTTCTAGACAGCATGATGAGGGGAATTGTAGGAAAGTGGCTCCTCAGAGAAGGCTGAAACAAATGAAATATTAATGCAATTTGTTCGACGAGGATTAATACCAAAATTTGTTGTGTCATCTTTAATAAAATTAATATCTGGTATTCTGCCTGTTCCCAATCATAAAATGCTTTTTTAGATTGGGAATCTTCGCGTTGTCTCTGAGTATAGTTCTATAGAGATCTAAACGAAATTCTTTGTTTTCTAGATAAGTTCAGCATTTAGCTTTTTTGTTTTTAGAATAAGCTGAGGATAAATAGTGGTGGAAAATGTCTTTCAGCTGTCATATACTTAAAAAATATGTTGGTTTAATCTTTTGAAATTTGCCAGAGAGTCTGCCCATCTACCCGTTCTAAACTTCCTAAAAAAGAGTTTGTTAACAGAAGAAGTGCGATATTCTGCATAGCCTATGAAACTTCTGAGGGATAATGTGCGAAAGCTTTTATGTTTGTATTGCCAGATTTTCATTCTTTTTGCAATTGTTCTATTAGGAGTATCACAAGGCAAAATGCTGTATCCATTTGAACGTCCTATCGTGTTAAGAACATGATTTTCAACAATTTTCTCAGCAAGGTGCATCAGGCAGAGATTGTTATGGTCATTTTGGACCTTCTATTTTATTTGATTTATTTGATAAGGAATTTCCAGATAGCATTATGGTTGATTATTTACATACAACACTATTAAGACAAACACGAACAATGATGACACATCTAGCCGGCAAAATTAGTACGGCAGATCGTGCCCTGCTTGATAGGGTGTTAACAGAACAAAGATTTCCATACTATTTTTATAGAGGAGTACGCGGTATTAGTAATTTAGCTCACGTGAAAGGAACAGAAGTTCGTAATCTTTTATTATATTCTATGATACCAACATTCATCTTATTTTTCGATCCTGAACAAGTATCTTATATATCGTTATTTTCATGTGCAATTCGTTTATTATATGGTCCACCATTACTTCATATTTCAAGAGGTGCTCGATGTAATTTAGCTTCGGAATTAATGATAGAATACATGAGTCTAGCAGAAAAGGCTTTTGGTCGCACAAATCTGTTTGAAACTGGTCTGCTTTTAGCTTTGTGAGGGAATGTGAAAGGACAGAATTTTATTCTGTTTTAATCTAAATTGCGCAAGAAATTAGGATGAAGTTGACTGCAAATATATTTCTACGATGTTTAATTTTAAATAGTATGCACCAAGTTTCGTACTCATTGATAAAAGATTTTTTTAAGAATAAAAGACGCTTCTTAGCTTCTGAACCGTATTTCAGCTATTTTTGATAATAATTTAATAGCTCGCAAGTTTCCGTTTCCCAGCTAGTAGACCTTGCATACGTTGTGTATTTCAGAGATGAATTTCTTCTAGTCCATAGTATACGAAGTTTCGATTTTCCGAGAAAGCAGCTGCGAACAATACGATTTTTTGACTACCAAAAGACTTTTTTAAATCTTGTAACAAGCAAGAAATATTTTTAGCACTGTCACTTTTTTTCGAAAGATTTGTACGTATCAGAAGACTTTTATGCCAATGCTAATCATATTCTAATACTTAGGAAACGTACACATATCTTTTGATAAAATTCATACGCTTACATTTCACCTTCATGATCATTATGATTCGTTATTTCGAACATATGGAAATTTAAGTTCTACAGCTACTTTTGCCTTTGAAGATTTTATAGGTCATATTGGCCAATCACACTTTGATTCGAAAAATATAGAACAACAACTTATTCTATACTACGGTATTGATTTTTTTTACGCAATGAGGCCACTGATGGTGATGACGTATTTATCGATCCGGAGTATTGCGAACCACTTTCCAAAATTATGACAAATAAATTTGATGATGATATTTTGTCCTATCATTCGAGTTTTTGTAACTGTTCTACTCCGAATACCTGTTTAATGATCTTTGACAGATTTATTATTAACCAAGCTTGTTATCATGCTCTTCTTTATACCAAGCGTGGATTATCAATAAGCTATTTCGTTGCATTTAAAGAAAAATCAATGTTGAAATTCGGTAAAATTTTATATTTTTTCTTAATTACAAATACAGAATCATTTGCTTACGTACAAGAATATAGTGAAAAAGCAGCATTTTCCGATGATTTAAAAGACACATTATTCTATGAGAAAGTTAAAAACACACTTGATCGTTTTTTCTTTGTGTTGGAGAGAAAACCATGTAAAGAAAAACTGTATGTTCCAGTAACGTGTATATTACATCATTGTATAGTTTTTGAAAATGATAATTCTCTAATTGTAACTCTTGTTAGTCGACTAGATGAACATGATTAGTTCGATATAATATTATTGTACATGTGTGTTTTATTTTGTGGTAATATTTTTCTGTGGACGCTCCCTCCTTTTTTCTACAATTCGTTTTCTCACTTTTTTTAGCACTAAAATCAATCCTATGAAGCTGTTCTATGGGTTTTGATACTGAGCTATTTATACCACATATAAAAGGTATATTTCCTTTTGACTTAGCAATCGCCACTTATGTTAAACTGTAATATCATATCATAGCGTTCAAGACCTGTAAACATAGACCACTTTCTATATATCTTCAAACAAAAGATTCTGCATGTTTAGTATTTATCAAGCCGAGTAATGTAGACTTTAGTTGCGTAACTATGTGTTAAGAGTAAATTCTTCACAATATATCATGAAGAAGTACGCTCTGCACTGCTAAAAGTAAACGACTATGTCACACTAAAGTCATAAAGATATCTTATTGTATAAAAAAATCAGTCACTTCGCTATAAACTTTTGTTTGGCGTGTGTCCTTTCAGATAATAATGGCTGCATCTGGATCAAAAAGAAGCGTTGTACCACCGATGACTTATACACCAGATGAAAGTTATTTATGTGTCTTTGATATTGATGGTGAAGAAAACATGTACAGTGCTATACATGTAAATGATGTTATACAGAAATGTGGAAGAAATCTTGTAGTAATACAAGATGGTTTAAAATATATCCAAAAAACAGTTATAGCCAAAGGTACAAAGCAAAACTCATTTTTATCTCTATGGTTTACTAGCTTTAGAACCTTTATATAAATTCACAAATGGACAGAAGCTATGTAAAACTATCAATTTGTAATCTAAGGCGAAAAAAACCCATTGATCGTGTCTTACGAAAAAAGAACAGCAAAATGCAGAGGACCACTGCTTCTACGTTCATTTACAAAAAGAAATATAAGATTGCGGCGTTTAGAGAACAAGGATACTGGTTCAGTTTAAGTTTAGGATTGTGCTATATCGTCTGCTGTCTTAGATTAAGGTCTAAGCCGTACAATGCTTTCAAAATATCTGCTTCTTCGCAATATTACAGATAGTTTATGTCTTGTTCTGCGTTCATTTAAGGATCTGAAAAACAAATGTTAATTAAAGCAAAATAATTACAAAAAGTTACAACACAACGTGCTAACTATTTTGATAATGATGATAATATTAATGATAATGAAGGTGATAATAGTGGTCAGGAAAATCAACGCCCTGCTGGTTCTCAAAACGGTGACGTAATGTCAAGTAGATTTAAAAGACAGGAAGTTTTCTACGCAAAGCTCTAAACTCTTGGCTGAATTTTATGTTTAAATTTTGTTATTGACAGAAAAATGTAGAAGTTATAGAGAAATATGTCAAAAAAACTATTCTATAGTTCGGTTTCTTTGATTGTGGCATATATATACTTCCAATGTGTTCGTTTTTTTAACAGACATCTTTATAAGAGCAGACATTTTTCTGCGGACCAGCGGAATAGCGGACCATAATGGTAAAGACATCTAGGACTTTACTGTACAACATTTTGTGCTGAACAATAGCGAATGTCAGATGCCGCTCAATATTGTTTCGATGATTTTGCTGAAAGAAAAAGTATAGCAGAATACGCATATAATGTTATAGCAGAGTAGCGGAATAGCGTTATAATGGTATAGCAGGGTAGTGGCGTAGAAAGTGATGTAGAACTCAATCACGAGAAGGTTTTTGCTGGGAAGGAAAGCTTAACATCTGAAGTCGATGGTTGTCGATTAATGAACGAGCAGATTCTTATTCTAATCTTGCATCTAGACCATCCCGCGAGTCAGTACCACGTTTAAAGGAGGTAGATAGAAGCGAAGACAAATGGGAAACAACCTATTGATCCACTACGACTATCAAATTCAAACAGCTTTTATCACTACCATAGCCATTCCGTCAACGTCTTAGCTTGCTGTCTGTTAATGAGCGAGAAGATTCGTGCATCTAGATCAGTTGAAAAGCTTCCCTGGTTAAAAGATGAAGATGTATCTTGGGCTTTACTCTACAATAATTTTTTATGACCAATAGAGAATGTGATATGTCGCTCAATATTGTTTTCTATGATTTTGCGCCAAAAAACGCTTGTTCAGTGGCGGTATAATCGTATAGTAGGATAGCGGCATAGAGGAATAGCGGCATGGCGGTATACCGGAATAGTGTTATAATGTTATAGCAGAAAGGTGGATTAGGGGAATAACAGAATAGAAAAATTACTACTGATAACATCGAGTCGATTGCACAACTTCAATCGTTGTACAGAATATAGATACAGAACGGTGAATTTAGTTTTGTAGTTTACTACAAAGCTAAGTTCACATGTTCGAATCTCTATTCGTACAAAAATTGATTTTGTGTTTTTCGATAGTTTTAGTTTAGAATACTATAATGGAATATTTTCCGCTTGTATTCTGACAGAATAAAGCTTATATCAACAGAATAGCGGTATAACTGTATAGCAGAATAGCGGAACAGTGGTTTAGCGGAAGAGCAGAATAGCGCTATACCGGAATAGCGGTATAATGGCATAGCAGAAAAGGGGAATAATGGTTAAAGACGTATTTTAGGCTTTACTGTTCAGTATTTTTCGATGAACAATAGAGAATGTGAGATGCCGCTCAATATTGTTTTCGATGATTTTGCGCCAAAAAACGCTTGTTCAGTGTCGGTATAATGGTATAGCGGAATAGCGGCATAGTGAAATCGCGGAACGGCGCACTAGCGGTATGATAGTATGGCGCAATAGGAAAATAGCGGACTAGCCGAAGAAGTAGAATAGCGGACCAGCGTAGTAGCGGAATAGCGGTATATATAAGCTTTATTCTGTCTGAATACAAGCGGAAGAATACTCCATTATAGTATTCTAAACTAAAACTATCGAAAAACACAAACTCAATTTTTGTACGAATAGAGATTCGAACATGTGAACTTAGCTTGGTAATAAACTGCAAAAGTAAATTTACCGTTCTGTATCTTTATTCTGTGAAACGATTGAAGTTGTGCAATGGACTCGATGTTAGCAGTAGTAATTTTTTTGGTATGTTTTTTGTTTTGCTTTGAAAACATAGCGGTATGATAGTATGGCGGAATAGCAGAATACCGGACCAGCGGAATAGCGGACCAGCGGAACAGCGGACCAGCGGAATAGCGGACCAGCGGAATAGCGGACCAGCGGAATAGCGGACCAGCGGAATAGCGGACCAGCGGAATAGCGGACCAGCGGATTAGCGGACCAGCGGAATAGCGGACCAGCGGAATAGCGGACCAGCGGAATAGCGGAATAGCGGACCAGCGGAATAGCGGCTTGGCGACACTTTCATCCTTTTTATCTGCCACAAGCACCCGAAATCATAGCGCCGTCACTATTAAGAAGCGCTGTTCTGCTTTTCAAAAAGCGAAAATTTTTGGACTGAATCTTCTGGCCATTGCCTTAACAGTGGCGGCGAAGGTAGGAGTCTCCAAACCCTCATCCCTTGATTTTTGTTTCCAGAAAGCTTTCCATTCGTCAAAAATGCCGTTTGACAACAAGGTGGTATACCGCGAGCACGGTTTTGTTTATATTGGACCAACGCGCAATTATGATCCGCGGATTGGTAACATTGTGATATACAATCAACAGAAGTGTGAGATACAGGAACACGGACAAAAAAACATCTGTGCGGCACTTGATTTGAACCCGGATGCTCTGGCAAAAGAGAAATTCAATGGTGCCAAATCTCTAGTTGTCGAATCGGGAAAGATACGCAAATCCGAAATGTCATTGGGTGCGGATGCA